AAAGGCTGTGCGTGAGCTCCGAGCCTCTATAGTAGAAGCGGATTTGGTGAGTCAAGCTACTTTTTTTTTTTCCAAAGCACTGATCCCATTTCCTTGTATTGTTAAGTAGCTTCAATCCATCTTACTGCATTACAGAAAGTGTGTTGATTGTTCTACTGTAGTGACTAATAACGAGCCATACTCTGCAGATTACCCCAGAGAGCTGGATTCCTGGCTTAGCTGTACCAGGCTTCCTGTGTGCAAAGACATCTCGGCGTAACCTGATTTGTTAAGGCACACATGAAGCTTTCCGTGAGCAGGAGAGAAAGGGGAGCATCATGAGATGTGGACAGGAGGCAGAGGGAGATAAGGAGATGGGTTGGTGGGAGGGAAAACTGGGCATCAGAACCCAGGGTGGGAAAACCTCACCTGGAAAAGGAGGAAGATGAGAAATAGTCTGGATGAAGGAAGGAATAGTTAGGTCCTAAGAGCTATAAAGGGCCAACGGTACGTCCCCGTGTGCTCAAGATGTTTGGGGAAGAACAAGGAGTTGGGTAGTGAAGCTGCTTGTGCCAAAAGCTCCCTATGGCCCAAGGAAGGAAGGCTTCCAGGGATGTTGCAGCCTTTGGGTAGCAGAGACTCCTGGCCCTGTAGGCAGGAACATTCTGTCCTTCATCTCCATCCCAGATGGATTTCGGAGATCAAAGGTAAGGTTCTCTGCTGCTGTAATGCTATTGATGTCAATCGGGTTGTGCCGCAGGGAAGTTGGCGCTCTCCTTTTAATTACAGTAGGTGTTAAACTTGAGTCTTCAAGGTTGAAATTCCTACCTTTGGCCTGCACAGGATCTGTAGATCACTCAAATCTCACTTAATCCCTCAAAGCAGTTCTTTAAGTGTTGTTGTCAAGGCTTAGTACTGGCTCTCCAGGGAAAATATCTCCACTGGACGGTTGCCCTTAGGCTGCACATGGGGTAATCGGCCACCCGAATTGCTCCCGGTGATCTATAGCACTGACGTTCTGGTGAAGTCAATAGTTCCCAGTGCTGGGTCATCAGCTGCTTCCCTCTGGGTCACAGTCTGGTGACTCTCCCAGCAATATACTGAACCAAGTTTGTGCAGAAAAAGCCTGCAAGAAAATGTGCAAGAAACAGCAAAGAACCTCCTGATAAATGAGATGTGTAAGTCATTCTGGGAGGCCGTGCTGGAACCCGGTTATTGCTTAATAGAGTACGGGCAGTGGAGCTCAGTTTATGGGGCAGGACCTTGCTAAGAGGAGGAGGGCTCCTGGCAGCTCATTTAGGTACAACGTTCGGGTGCCCTCCCAAGGCAGGGTCACCAGCGGAGGTTCCACGTGGGTTGTACCGCTCCTTCCAGCCAGCACTGGTGCTCTGCTCAAAAATGTACGTGTTGGATCATCCTTGGCTCTTCCCTCATGAGGGCTTTGGCTGCTCCTCCAAGCTGTTCCTGGCTGGACCCATGAGACTGCGTTTGCCTTCCCCCTCACCCCCAGTTAATCTTTTTCTGCAGAGCATTTGTATAAAATATCTTTAGTTATCCTTTTCCTGGCATAAGTTTGAAACTCTGCAGATACCGTTTCCCTTCTGCTTGAGCTCTGGGATACAGAGAAACCAGGGCTCCTTTCCCAGTACCTGCTGTCTTCTCATCTCTTGCCTCTTCTGTGTGGTTCGGTGACAAATTCACTGCCATTACAGCATCTCTGCAGAAGCCATGAATCCTCCTGGAAGATTTGCCTGTACCACCTCCCAGCATGGCCTTTCCCAGACCTCATCTACCTGTGCTTCCCTTATCTTCCCTCCTGGTTCACAGCCAAACTGCAGGGCTGTTGCACTGGGACAGCCGTGTCCCCGAGCTGCTGTAGGAAACACAGCTCCATCACTGTCCCTGCAGTCAACAGCTCTGCCCCAGCAGGACCCAGACCCCTCGCTCCCCTTTTCCCTCTCGTGTATTGTCTGCTGTAGTTTATTTTAAACGCTGGGATAGTGCTACCTCCAGAGAAGTTAATAATCCTCATTCAGGCTATGAGGGCTGCATGTCCCACCCCGGCAATACGCTAACCTCGCTGCGTTAGGAGTGCCATTAATGCTGGTGGAGGGCAGCGGATCTGACAGCTGTAGGGCGCGAGGTCAGGTACGCTGTGGCACACATTTCAGATTTTCAGTGCAATAGGCTTTGATAACATTAAATGGAGTGAAGAACTTCTCTATTACCCAGATTCTGTTCCTTTTTTTTTTTTCCTCTCCTTTTTAAATTAAGGCAATACAGTGTTGTGTTGTAAGAAGGATCTATTTTTCTACTGACCCATTTCAGTAAGAATTCAGCCCATCAGGAGCATGTGCTGCTTTTGAAGATGGAAAGAAATTCACAGATATTAAGGGCACTATGATCAGCTCATCTCTCCTCATGCATAATACAGCCTGGAGAATTCCCCCCAGGACTCTCCTCTCAAGCCCAGCACTCTGCAGCTGGATGGCACCGTGGCTTTTTGTGCGATTTATCCAGAACCACCTCCAGGTCTGGCTCAGGGGTCTTGTTCAATCCCTCCTCCTCCATCAGTAGGATGCGGGACACTTGGAGCCTGTTTTAGCCCATTGTGCCACCAGCAGCAAGAAAATCCTGGTTCTTCAGCCTGCTCCCAGCATGTTTTGCAGCATCTGTGCTATTTCAGACCTTGGTTGAGGGCAAATGACGGCAGTGAGAGTGTGGTGAGATGGGCGAGAGTCTCATCCTTCCTTTTATTCCTTCCCTTTGAGGAACTGGGGTCACCCAGCTCAGTGGGGGCTATGGACCCAGGGCAGCTTTCAGGGCAGCTCCAGATGCTCAGCACTGGATGAAGAAGGCGACATTTGTGCAGCTTAGCTAAGCCAGTCCTGTCTCCTTCCAAGCTGCTGACAGGAGAGTTACCTCCAGAAGGCAATTAAATGAAGGCATCTAAATGAACTTCCTGCTGCTAATCACCATCCGAAGGACCTGTCTCCTTCCTCAGGCGGAGATAACTGCCTTTGCCTTCTCAGGCACCCTTGTTCTGCAATGGAAGTGATTTATGGCTCCCAGGAGGCTGCACACCCTGCAGAGGAGGGTAGTTTTCTTGTGAACTGACTTAAAAATCATTTTTCCCCATTTGTTCCACAAATGAAACGAAACAGCTCAGTCTGAGGACTTGTAGAAAGACTCGTTTCCATCAAGTCCTTGGAAATGCTGTCATGTTTCATTCCAGGAGAAATTGGTTTGAAAGTTCTCCGCTGCCAAAAAAAAATTCTGAAACTGCAGTTTCCTCTCTTCCTCCCACCTGAAGCTGTCTGGGTTTCCCTGGGGTGGGAGCGATGGATTCAGATCCACCTTGTCGATGGCCATCACAGGTATTCATGGATCTTTTCCCAGCCCTTTCTAAGACACGGATATCTTAAAGATACCCGAGTAATCTAGGTGGTGTTCTTTTTGAAAGTCACCAAGGTTTCCGTGTTGCAGAGATCATGCTTCTCTGTTCTGCAGTGTGATGATTTCGGACAATATTTTTCTAAACTCCCGGCCTTTTGAGTCTTCATGTAACCACTCAAGAAGAAAACACTCCAAGGCACTGGTCTTATTTGCTGGCCACAGTTGTGTCATTTTGTTGCATGGTCCTAAGAGAGTGATCTGATGACAGCCCACTTCTTGGGTACTGCCCATCAGAAACAGGGTGTTTTATGTTTGGAGGAGAGGCTTTGATTTGGGAGTTTTGCCTTTGTTCGGCTGTGCAGGTTTGATGTCTTGGTCACAGTATGTTAGAGTTGTTCACTTCCTTAATTTTTGGCATTTAGTAAAGAGGTTTTATGCCTTTCTTTTATATGAGATTAAATGCTAATAATGGTTTTGTGAGTGTTTCCAGCTCTGTATTCCCATACGCAGTTTGGGACTTGGCTGGCTCCCCCATCCACAGTGGGTGTTAGAGCCACCCGTACCAGCCTGGGGAGCCAGCGCTGATTTCTGCTCGTGCTTTTGCTTTAAGCAGAATTAGAAACGTATTCAGAGGCTGTCCAAATAATACGTCTATACCTGGTGTATCTAGAGAGGAGATGAAGATCTGTTTGCATCGTGTTAGTACATAAATCCATCTCCCCTTAAGGTGCTTAGGCACATTTGGATAATGACCTGGAACAACCTAGGTAGCAGGAGGTTACATGTACCTGTCACGTCAGCCTCCGTGAGCGTGCGAGATTGCCAGCCAGCAGGCAAAAGCGGCCAATTACACCACACTGAAGCATTTCATTCGTTCTTCCATCTACGCAGCTCCACAAAGTGAATCCTGCTGTAAAGACCTCTACCTCCCGCTGGCATCACCCCCTGTCTGAGGACATAGTGTTTAAAGTGCCCTCAATATTTGCAGCGTGGTTTTTCTGCCGGTGTAGTTAAAGGCCGTGCTGTCCTCTGCAGCGGGCTGTACTGAGCTACCCTGATGCTCGGGGACAGTGTGTGTCAGTGCACAGGGTGATGAGGGGGTCCTGGGGGCTTGTGGGCTCCATTTTCACTGCCGATGAGAGTGAGAAGTTGCTACACCTTTACGCTTTCGTACCCTCTATTTTTCCCTCCCTTTCTACTTGTCAGGCTAGGAGATGATTCCTGGTGGCTGCAACGCACGTGGGACAGTTCTCACCTGGGCTGTCGGGGCCCTCCCCTTCGGTAACGCCGAAAAGCAAGATCCAGTGTGTTTGTGTCCGTGCACGTGTATTTTGGAAAGGAATTAAGGCAGCATTCTAGCAGATGTAAACCAGCTCGCCTACCAAATGTCCTTAAAGCCCTGCTTCCCTCCTCCTTCTTGCTTCTCCCCTGTTGCTCTGGCTCAAGGAGTTTCTGATATTTCCAGCTGAAATTTCATGACTGACTTTCCTTGGGGGGGACCAGGGGAGGGGAACCAAAGCTGCAGTGTGAGTTGCTTCCCAATAAAAGCTAACTTGGAGCAAGAGCTGAAGGAAAGCACAAGGGACATTTCCCCTACTTTAACGAGCATTTATCCCTGCCATAGCTCAAATGATACCGTTCCCCAGTGCAGCAAACCCTTCCCCTGTGCTTGCATCATCTTTCTCCTCTTCAATATATTCATCTTCGTACCCTTCTCTGAATGCATTGTCTTCATGGTCCTCTCCCTCCTCGTTCACATCTTCACCAGCCCACTCTGGCAGGAGGTCACCTTGCCCGTAGGTGCTCACCAGCTGCTTGCAGAAGGGACATTGTCGTCTTCTGGGGCCGGGTGCGGAACCAGCTGTCAGTGCGGGCACTGTGGTAAGAGTGGGAACAGGACAGGATCTTCAGGCGTTCCCCTTCCTTGTACTCTGCCGTGCAGATCACACAGCTCTCGTATTTGTCTCCCTGCTTGTAAGTATGCAGCTTTGCCTTGTACCAGCTTAAGCCAACCATAATTGAGACAGTGGCAATAATGACACAGAATATGTACCCGAAATACTTGACATTCTGCATTCTGAAAGCTTCCTGCAGCATTTTAGCATTGTCTTGACAAGGACCCGAACATTGTTTGGCTGGTAGAAGTCTGCATGTCCCTTTCTCACACTGCAAAACCCTTTGCAAGTGGAGGGAGACCGATTGTCCAGTAACGAGGGATGGTATCTTGATCAGCTGCTGGATTTCTTTGTCATCAGCCATCACGGTAATCAGTTCCTCTGAATCCGCATTGTACACAACAGCGGCTTGGTATCCAGCCTGTTGAGCATGAAGGACTTTCTCAACAAAAGACCAGTCATACCCCCGTATGAGTGCAATATACGTCTCGGAGGCTGCCTTTGGTGCTGGAGGATTCTCTATTGCATGGCAAGCATTTGGTGGTATCACCCTTATCAAATACCCTGTCAGCCCTTCTGCCAGGAGTTGTGGCCCAAAGCACGCAGGCACGGCTTTATAAGCGATGCACTGGGAGCTGTCATTGTCAGCCACGTAACCAAAGGCTTCTGCAAGAGGAGGGTTGTAGAACACAGTGGCAACCACAAAGTAAAGTAGTTTGAGCCAAAGGTTCATGCTGAATGCACTTGGGTAGCTCTGAATACAAAGTTCCAGGCTGATCCCAAAGGAAAGGCGTAAGAAACAGTCACAGAGGCATTATCCCACCTGGGTTTTATCACTACGCCGTGCCTTGGAGCCACAACAGGATGGAGATCAAAACCTGTTGCTGCCCTAGAGGTTTCTGCAGGATTTCTGTAGGCTCGGAGGTTCTCTGGATAGAACTAGTCTCTTTTGCTGTCTCTAGCTGCTAAGCAACACCCTTACATCACCTCTGCAGATCTCTGACATCACCCAGTGACTGTTTCCCAAGGCTGGGTCAGGTAACATTACTGCCAACCCGCTTAAACCTCTATTCCCCTTCCTTTTTGGTCTGCTCTGTCCACATAGCTACTCGTTTCATCTCCCTCTGGGTACCAATAGGATGCTGGTTTCTCTCGTTTAGCTGATGAGGTGCAGGCAGGATAGAGGAGCCTCCCCATCAGCTACATGCCCACTGCAGACTGGAATGCTTCATGATGGTGGCCAAAGCAATTCCTGGATAACGTGGCCAAGTGGGAATGAGACGTTAGCCTCTGTCTGCTGCTGGGGG